CAGGAATGCATAATGATTCATTTTTCACTTAGGACTTATTAATCACTCCACATTACTACTGTTAACACCAGATATGTATCTACACAGCATTTCCCAACTTTTATTATACTAAGATCTTAGGTTGATGATCTACTTAGCACTCAACAACACTGGAACCCCAGTGTTGCATAGATATATGCAAGTCTAAGGTATCTGTATACACTTGGCTGTGTATTAGGCCATTAAAAGGCTTCCAGGGAATTCTCCACCTCTTTAAGCCGCTCCCTTTGGCCCAAAGGGCGGGGAGGAGGGGCTGGAAGGGGGGCTGGAAGGGGGCGGTTTCCTAGGCGACCGCCGAGCAGCAAGTGCGCACGCGTAGAGCTGGGCCTGGCTGATGCAATCTCCCTCGCGCGAGCTGCGTCTACCAAGAGTAAGGAAGCCGACAGGGACCTGAGCGAGGCCAATCAGCGGCCACAAGGAAGAGTGCGGAAAGGCCCGCCCGCCTGATCCTGCGAGTGACGTTCGGTGGCCCTGAGCTGGTGGCGTAGCCGTCCGCCCTCCTTCGTCTCGTCAGCTTGCTTGGAGGCGTCCTGCTTCGGCGCTGGCCCTGCGGCCATTTTGAGCTTCGCTTCCACCAGCCAGCCGGCCCAGCCCTTCCGGGGTCGCTTAGCTGAGAGGCTTTTCCACGGTCAGTCTCTCCTGGCAAGTCGCCGTCGCCGCCGCCGCCGCGGAAGGGCTTCTATCTATGGTGGAGAGGGCTGGAGAGGACTAGGACACCTCCTTTCCGCCAGGATGGATGTCGCCTCGGCCGCCGCGTCCTGTGCCCGCCGTTCTGGACTGTGGTCTGCCGCCCGCGGCCGAAGCCGCTCTCCTCTGTGGCTCTTCTGTTGGCCCGGGGATCGGCCTGGGGCATCACCTCCGCCGCTGGGCAAGGCTGAGACTCTGTAGGCCTTTTGGAGTCCCTCCCGGCCGCCCGCCGCTGAGCTCCGCGTCCCTCCCTCAGAGACTTGCCGAGAACGCGGAGATGGAGCCGGCAGCAGACGCATCGCGGGAACGGGCCGCCCCGCGGGCGGACTCCCGGTTCCGGCTGCCCTTCTTCCCTCGGCGCTCGCGACCAGGCACTTCCAAGTTCCCCGCACCTCCTGCCCCGGAACACTCCGGGGATCTCAAACTGGCTTCTTGCCCCCCGCCTGAGGCTCGGCGCAGCTCGTGGACGCAGCTGCTTTCCCAACTCTTTGCGCCGCTCCCCGGCTTGTTTCAGAAGCTGCTGATCTGGAGCCAGCTTTTCGGTGGGATGATTCCGACCAGATGGCTAGATTTTGCTGGAGGCTACAGCGTGCTGAGAGCCCTGAGGGCCCGGGAGGAACCCGACGCCCCCACGGCGCCGAAATCTCTGAGTTCGCTGCGGCTAGACCCCTCGGCTGACGCGGCCGCAGTTCCCCTCGATTGGCTAGAGGAGGGCATCCACTGGCAGTGCTCGTCCCCAGATCTACAATTGGAATTTAAAGCCAAGGGAGGAACTTTGGACTCCGCAGCCCACGCTTTTCTCCTAGAGCAGCAGCTGTGGGGAGTGGAGCTCCAAGCCAATCTGTTCTCCGGCCGGGAACTTGGCCCTTCGCCCTCCGGGCCTCTCAACGTTCAGCGCTTAAGCAATGCCAACGTCGTCTCCTATTTGCTGAAGCCCTCCTATCTGGACTGCCTGCCCCGGCTAGAGCTGAGCTATCAGAGCAGCGTTGGAAGTGGCGAGCTGGTCGATTTCCAGGCGCTGAGCCCAGAAAGCGGCTGCCTGGATGAGGTCCCGTCTCATCCCCAGCCGCTCAACGCGGAGATGGCTTGCGTCTCGTTGCAGGGATGTGCGCCTCTCTCTAGAGAAGGGCTGCCCGAAATCCACCATCTTCGCATGAAGCGGCTGGAATTCCTCCAGCAGGCCAGCAAGGGCCAAGCGTTACCCACCCCTGACCAAGATCATGGCTACCACAGCCTGGAGGAGGAGCACAGCCTGCTCCGGATGGACCTGAAGCACCGCAGAGATAGTGCAACACTGTGTGTTCCCGCTGCTGGAGCCGTTCCCGGCACCGCTCAGGAGCCCACTGAGGAGAAAGTAGAATTGTTGACTAAAGAGGTTCCCCTTGCTTTGGAGAGACAGGGCACCTCGGAAGGCTGTCTGTCTTGTGAGGTTCCTACGGAGCAGGAGCCTGGAGAGGACCAAATAAGTGTAATTGACTCCTCAGACATAGACGATGACCTTCCCATTTCTGCCAGACCAGCCTGTAGCAACAAATTGATAGATTACATTTTGGGAGGTGCAGCCAGTGACCTGGAAACAAGTTCTGATTCAGAAGGTGAGGATTGGGATGACGACGCTGAGGATGATGGTTTTGATAGCGATAGCTCACTCTCAGAATCAGACCTTGAACAAGACTCAGAAGGGCTCCACCTTTGGAACTCTTTCTATAGTGTCGATCCTTATAATCCCCAAAACTTCACAGCAACAATTCAGACTGCTGCCAGAATTCTTCCCAGAGACCCTTCTGACTCAGAGGCGGATTTGTCTGACAAGTCTAATCTAGAAAATCCTCCGTGGACTGCAAGCCTTCCTGAGTCTCCTGACCATAATTCTGGAGCAGAAGATGACTGGGAATCTAGTGCAGATGAAGCAGAGAGTCTCAAAGTGTGGAACTCTTTCTGTAATTCCGATGACCCCTACAACCTTCTAAATTTTAAGGCTCCTTTTCAAACATCAGGGAAAAATTGGAAAGGCTGTCGAGACTCAGAGAGGCCGTCTGAGTCTATTGTGACCATTTCTGAGTGTCACACCTTACTTTCCTGTAAGGTGCAACTGTCAGGGAGCCGAAAAAGTGAATGTCCAGACTTGGTACAGGGTGGGGTTCTTTCTGGAGCAAGACACACACATATCCAGAGAAAAAAGGTTTGTTTCTTTCTTTTAACATGCCTGATAATTTGTATTGCCTGTTCTGATGTGGTTAAGGATATCAGTATGACTTTCCTGGAGGCATAATAGTGCGTATTTTTGAGGAAGGACTGCAAGCTCATATACTTGGATTGAGAAGTGAGCCTCCCCCCCACCCCCCACTTCCCTCATTAGAGTGTTGTTCCTGTCTGAATTGAAGGTGCCATTGTATAGATGTTAGCTCGAAGGTGTTGTTTTCTTTTGGATTGGCAGCTCTGGGCTGTTTTCCTCCAAGCTTAAACTTTTCACTTTTTTTTTAAGAAACGGAAAAATTAAACCTTGTGTGTACACGATTTAATTCTAGAGATTGAGAAGGTCCTATTATAGCCATAGAGTTTTAAATGGTAATAAATGTGGTGTTTGCAGTCACTTAGTGTTGTAGTTACATGATAACAGTGTCTTCATTCCTGTCCGTTAGAACCCAAAGGGTCGTGATGGTACCAAGTAGCAAGTCATATATGTCTGGTTGCTTGCCATGAAAAATACTAATTTCAGTATTAAAAACTTTTGGACATTTGGGATTTTGATTGACAGTCAAAAACAATACAGAAAATAGTGTTGCCTTTTCTTGAGAAAGCATTACTAGTTATCATTGGCCAGCTACAGGTTAATAATCATTTGTAACAATGATGGTCATTTATTTGGCTTTCTTGAGTAGTTGCTTCCTATTCCCAGGCTAGTCTTAAAACTTCATGGAGCATTTTATTTTACTCTTCCAACACATTGTCAAGTTAACCTTATTTTGGGAGTCTTTTGAATTGCTTTTTTTTTCTATGGTTTATTCAGCTGAAGTTATTAATTGGAGAGTGATCCCCCCAGACACACGGGGTATCTTTTATTGTGAAGGGAAAGTTTCTTCAGTTACCTTTACTTATATTTGGAAAGAGAAAGGTGTAGGTAAATTATTATTGACCTCAGATTCAGCAGCGTCAAAGTTTCAAGTGGAAAGAACCATCCACTGGCTCCAAATGACCAGATTAATACTTTGAAACTCTTCCAGGGGTAGTAAATGTCCCTAAATGGTGGTAATCTTATGTCTTAGCCGTAGAAGCAGAATAAGGCATATTAAAAATTAAATTTCAGTTTACACTTTTGTAAATGCTGTCATCAAAGAGTTTTCCTCTTTAAAGGGTCCCTGACAAAATGACCTATTTAGTGAATAGATAAGAAGCGAAATGGGGCAATGGAACGAGCACTTGGCACCTGGAGACCTTTGTTCCCCACTCCTGAGTAGTTAGGGCCAAGAGATTTGGGAAGACAGCCAGAGCTAGGAAGTAACTTGACCTCTCATGGCTTTGATTCACTTATTTATCTTATGGAAGTAATAATAATAATAATAACTATTGTATGAATTATTGCACGGTTTGAATGAGGTGAGTAGATAAAATTCACAGTTAGTTGCCTTGACTTTAAAATGGTAGCTCTTTCTTGTTCAGGAACCTCAGGCCAATCTCATGCTTCATTAGCTTGCTCATTGAATAAGACTGAGATGAGTCAAGTAGATGTGTCTCAGCTATTACTATGAACTAGAAGCAACATTTATAAAAGATCATGTCTGCGATATGGTAAAATTATTTATAGCCTTTGACTACATGCAATTCTTTAGGTATATGGGAATAATGGATAGTGCCTACTTCTTAGAATGAGGCTTTCAGATCTGGGCGTTTAAAATGCTTTGTGTCATGGCATAACATTGTGCAAATTGTGGAGCCAGACTCAGGGTTTGAATCTTTATTGCACCCATAGAAGCTGTGTGATTTGAACAGGTCAGTTAACCTACCTACCTTGATTTCCTTATCTGTACAATGGAGATGATAGTAATACATACCCTATAGGGTTGATATGATGATGAAGTGAGATAAAAATTGCTAAGTACTTTGAAAAGAGCCTGGCATATGATAACCACTATATAAATGTTTGTTGTTGTTATTTATCTTGGTGACACAATGAGTAACACTAGAATGCCATAACTTTTAAGGTATTACATACCTACTAATTGTCCTCGGGGGCATTCCTTGGCCTGATATAAAGGGAATGAAAGTAGCAGGTCACAGTGGGATTAGCTGATGTAACTATTGAACGTATTTTAAAAAAAGTTTTTACTTTTGGTGTTCGATAAAAAAGAAAACTTCTACATTAGAAATTAAGTAGGGATTAAAAGGGACTGTCACTCCATGTGATCATGTATATTGTAATATTCTCAACTTCATGTATATGTAGTGATAGCATATTAAAGAGGAATACAAAGAGGGTTTTTATCTTAACTACAGTCTCTCTTATAGTAACATAACTTTAAAGATACGTTAATTTTGCTGCAGTTTGTTTATTAAGTAACTCTCTTCTGTATTCTTATTACAAAAGTAATAATATAAGAATAATACTACATATTTATGATTCAAGAATTGGAAAGCACTGAAAAGTGAATTTTTTTTTGGAAAATGGAAGAATAGAAATAAGTGACAATCTTGTTAAAGCTTTTGTGTTGTAATAAAAGCATTGACTCCAGGAATATATTTCTGAACTATTTCGTTTGGAAACATTTGTCATTTGGAAGTGTATCACAGAATTGATTTCCCTAAAGATTAAAAAAAAGTAAAGATTAATAACAGGAGAATTTCACTTACCCATCTGGATTCATTTTTAACACCAAAACCAGGAGGGGGTAGTCTGGGGTTGACTGGATAATGGATGCGGGATGGGACTCTCTCTCTGTGTGTGTGTGTGTGTGTTGTGTGTGAGAGAGAGAGAGAGATAGAACCCTTCCTTCTTTCCTCCCTCTGTGTGTGTGTGTGTGTGTGTGTGTGTGTGTGTGTGTGTGTGTTGTGTGTGAGAGAGAGATAGAACCCTTCCTTCTTTCCTCCCTCCCTCCCTTCCTTCCTCCCTTCCTTTTGCTTCTGTTATATTTGAGATTAAAATTAGTCTATATCTTTATAGGTAACCTTCCTTGAAGAAGTTACTGAGTATTATATAAGTGGTGATGAGGATCGAAAAGGACCATGGGAAGAATTTGCACGGGATGGATGCAGGTTCCAGAAACGAATTCAAGAAACAGAAGACGCTATTGGATACTGCTTGACATTTGAGCACAGAGAAAAAATGTTTAATAGACTCCAGGAAATGTGCTTCAAAGGACTTAATGTTTTCAAGCAATGTTAAGATGATGTGACAGCCTCTGGCCTTAGCAAACACTACCTCTTACTTGAGAGGTTTCTTTTAAAAACAAAAATTGGCAGCTGTCCTTTGACTTTTTTCTTAGAGGATATGCAACTTGGATCCAGTGACCTAGTTTAATATATGTTTTTTGCAACATATCCCACTCAGAAATGTACAGGTTTGAAGCCAAGCCCTGAAAATGAAGGATGAGATGGTGTGATTTCTAATCCTCCTTTTTTGTTTAGTTGGATTTGTTTTTGAATGTTGTTTGCTTGCTGAAGTGAAAAGGGGACCTCTTAAGGTGTAATTTTGCACTTTGAAAACTTATTTTCTTGGGAAACAATATTTATAGGGTTTGAAGCCCATTTTTCATTCTAATTTAAATTACGTGTACCTGTCTAAAACTTTGGGCTCTTTTTTCCCTCTGAACATTCTGAAATTAATGGGCTGTTATGTTTTCTCTATATTTTTTTATTTCAGTAATTTGGCCCTTCTACTTCAAGGCTAAGACAATAATCTTGTATATACTACCAACTTAAAGTACATTATCTTGTGTCATTGTGGGTTTTTTTTCTTTCTTTCTAAAAATGACTGGTTGAAAATATGTGGTGGGTTTTTATTTCTAGATTAAGCTCTACCTAGGATATTTCCAAGGACTGCCACAAAACCTATATGTGCAGTACTTTCTTTTACTTGGGGAAAGCTGCATACTTCTGCCAAATTTTAACATCTGATATACTTAATTTATGTGCAAACTCTTTTTTGAAGAAGGTTCTGTATATATTATTATAGTTCCCACTTGGGTGGTTCTTTGTGTCTTCAATAGGTAGAAATTGTTGTAAAGGACTCCAGAAGTAATAATTGCATCATAGTTGCTTTTAAATTTAAAAGCTTAGAACTTTCCTAGGAAGAAGATAGGAGACATCTCAGAGCAATTTGGTCTTGTTGTATGTGCTCTCAAAAGAAAACCAGTGTTATTAATATGCCTCAGCACCGTCACTTTTAAAACCTGTCAGGATGGCACTGTGAACTTGGAAATGGGCAGTTCTTAATTTTCCAGTTTGAAATGTAAAATGTAGACTTCAGTCAATATCCAAGTTTATTGTGTTCTCCTTTTTTAATAGTGAGAGAAGTAATGGCAAGGCCTATAGTTTCAGGAAAGGACTATAGATTTAACAAATAGAAAGTCTTAATATCTTCTGCCCAAAGTGTACTTTTGGTTTTTTTTCCACTTGAAAAAAGCTGATATCTTTAATAAACAAAAGTGACAATGTTCATTTTCCAAAGCAAACTGTTTTTGCAGTGACTGATTGTGTTCGGTTTATTTAGCTAGTTCTACGTGGTGTGCGTTTGTTAGGTTGAGGGAATGTTAACCAACTCCTTAATGGTCTATTTTTGTTTCATGTGCCTCCTGTCACAGGTAATGGAAAACATGAATAGAATAGATGACCTCTTAATTTTGAACTTGTTTCATAGAGTGGGGACAAATTTTTCATCAGAAGTGCTTGCAGGGTTACTACCTCAGTTTATAATCTACCTGGTCATTATTTTATTTGTTTGGTTTGCTCTAAGAACTGCCTCTAGTGTTAATATGTATATATATATTCATACGTAAACACACTGAGAGTACAAGTAAAAGTCAGATTTTTGCAGAGCCCTTCTTCAATGTGGTTTGTGCCCCTGCATTTTAGATATTCACAGGGAATGCATTTATAGAGTCTGGTGTAACAACGTGGAAATAAGCTAAGTTTCAAACACCAGCTGTGTCAGTTGGAAAGAAGGTGTCACTTGCCTTGAAAAGAAAACTTTGAAAATGTGTAGGCATTCTTTTAAAACCAGACTGAAGTATACTGTTTTCAGAGACTTAGGTTGTGTTTTGTGTTTCTGAAATCTTGCACCTCTGCATATATGAAAATAATGGGATATCTTTACATTTACTGGATTTTGGAGAATTGTTCCCTTGAGATTCCAACCTCGCTACCAAATACGTAATAGCTTGGTGAAGAGTTCTCCCATTTACTACCCTCCTTTAAAAGAAGTGATCAGGCGGTGATAAGGACAAAAGGGACCATTTTAAAGTTGGACAAGGGAAGAAACAGAATTCTTACCAGTTTCATTCCGATTCTAGTTGTTAGAACAAAGTTAAACCTTCAGTCTTAAAATCCTGGGCAGTTTTAACTGAACATTTTACACACCTAAAAGTCTTGCGATGGTGCTTTAAGTATCAATGTAGCATATGAAAGGCTTTGTACAGACAAGTAAAATTTCCTTTTCTGAGTGTTAAAATGTGATAACACCATCTCGTCATCTTTAACTTGAAATCAAAACTATCAGATTTTATTTTTTTATAATTTAAGGAAGGTGAAGTTAGGGGACTAGAAGACATCTAAATTGACTTCTACAGATCCAATGATTTAAATGTAACCAGTTTGTTGGGACTTTATAGCTAAAATTATATTTGTGTATATAATTGTTAGCTAATCTGTAAATTGTAATAAATATATTTGCAATTTTTAAATGTTACAAGATATTTTGGTTCAATTTTATATTGTATTTTACATTATTTTCAGTATTACTGAGCAGGATTTCCAGAATTAAATCAGGTGTTTTTTTAGAAGCACTGTAAACTTTAAAGGTGCTGCACAAATTTATGTGGTATAAAAAGGTTATGTGGGGCTTCCCTGGTGGCGCAGTGGTTGAGAGTCCGCCTGCCAATGCAGGGGGCGCGGGTTCGTGCTCCCGTCCGGGAGGATCCCAGGTGCCGTGGAGCGGCTGGGCCCATGAGCCATGGCCGTTGAGCCTGCGCTCCACAATGTGAGAGGCCCGCATACCCCCCCAAAAAAAAAAAGGTTATGTGACATGGAAATTACACCACAACTAATTGAAGCGTAAGGAATGCTAAGGGGATAAATATAATTGTAAACCACATTTTGGTGTTAGAAAAAAGAATTTAGTTCTTAGCGTATGAAATGCCCTTCTTAGAGAATGGGGGTTTGATTCTAAAATTGGCCCCAGCTATGTATTTCTTCTGCAAAGAAAACAGTAAAATTGTGGGCTTCCCTAGTGGTGCAGTGGTTAAGAATCTGCCTGCCAATGCAGGGGACACGAGTTCAAACCCTGGGCCGGGAAGATCCCACGTGCCACAGAGCACCGGAGCCTGTGCGCCACAACTACTGAGGCCCTCCCACCTAGAGCCCGTGATCCACAATGAGAGAAGCCACCGCAATGAGAAGCCCGTGCACCGTAATGAAGACCCAATACAGCCAAAAATAAAAACAAGTAAATTTATTTAAAAAAAAACAACAGTAAAATAAAACAGTATTCACAGAGGCAGTAAATTCATATTCTGGGATTAGCATAGTGTTTCTACTAAGTATCAGGGAATTCGGTTTCTTTATTTTGTGCATTATTATTAATGATAACCATGGTATTCGTAAGTCATGATGTTATCTCATGATATTGAATAAATGTGATGGTAACATCAGAAAAAAAACTTCTTATCCTGAAAAAAAGACATTTGGGCTATAGCAAGCCTGTTCATGGACTAAGGCATAATAGCATTCTTAATTTAGGCATTTGGATCTTCCAAGCTATTGAAAAATTATTAAAGGTGTATTTCTGAACTAGAAAGAAATTAACAGTTGCAGATAAATCAGTGTTTAGTACAGATTGAATTGATGGCCCAGGTTATACTTCTATTACCATCTTGGGGTTAACTTAAGCATTTTTGGCTATGTCTCCCCAGGAAGGGGAGAAGATATAATAATAGTCATGTTTACACCAAGCCAGATTTATTGTTATGACTATCCCGATATCCCTATAGAAGTTGTGCTGTGTTTCTTTTTTGTTCTACTTTAATAGAAAGTTTAAAGCAAATATTTAATTGCTGACCTCAGAAAATTTGATAGTTACACACAGATTTGGGAGTTTGGTGGTCTCATTGGGAGACTTCCTTTGGACCCTCCTTTATGTACCTTTTAAAAATAAAAATGGAAATATCTTCATTTTTATCTCATGTTATTTATAAAAGTAATACAGAGATATAAAGACGTCCTGGTACATTCTAAAGAGTAAGTATGTTGCTCAGCATACCTCTTTGAGCTAAGAGACTTAATTTCTTTTTATGTGCATGAAGAGGTTTTGATATTTCTTCATTCAACTGATTATGACATGAATGTTGGCTATTTGGAATATACCTACATTGTTTCTTAGGATTCTTATGGACTTAGTTGAATGCTTTGGTCAATACAAAAAAAGTTTTTTTCTGCCTGGATTTGCTCCATTGAGACTAAGTTTTTATTGGTTAATTATGACTTTAAAATACAAAGGAAACATGATATCAAGCTCTGCAAAAATAGGTGTAATAGGGCCTCCCTGGTGGCGCAGTGGTTGGGAGTCCGCCTGCCGATGCAGGGGATACGGGTTCGTGCCCC